AAACTTCTTATAAAAAACGATTAATTTCTGAGATGATTTATATTAAATGCAATAATTTTACTATTAACAAGAAGGAAGATATACAGTTTCTTAGTAATTCCTATTTTCCTTTGCTTAATAAATTGAAATAATGGTTATAATTCATAATATTTCGATTGCGGGTCATTGACCCCATCGACTGTATATAACGCGAAAATTGTCACCGGCTCAGTCAGTTTGACTAATCACTCGTTTTAATATGTTTGTGATTTGTAAATTTAAATATTTTATTTTTTTGTTGTATTGCGTTTATTTATGTTTTTAATTTATTGACGTGATGTTTATTTATTGACTTTAACTAGGTAAAAATTGTTTTTTATTTTTTGTTTAAATTTAAATTTTCAAAATTTTGTTGTATTAATTTTTTTAAAAAAATTTTTCTATTAAAGTGACCTGATGATGGTGGCGAACCTGACCACCGAAACGTCGTCTATTTTATAAAAAAGTAAAAGAGTGTTTTTCTTTTACCTTTTATATACGTCTTCCAAAAATCGAAAAAATTAATTTATTAAATAACTGTGGAAGAATTTACTAAATATTTATAATGTGCTAACTTTTTTGCCAAAACTAGTTTTTTTAATTCAGTAGTAAACCAGTGTGGATATTGAAAGGAGTACAATGGCTTAAGAGGAACGTATAAATTTAATGCTGTATACAAGTGTTCATAAAAAATCGTTATCGCAGAATCAATGTCTGACACATCAAGTACCAAATTCCAATTTATACCATTTAAATAGCAACTGATTGCGTCAAAGTCTGCATTTCTAATGTCATAATTATTTATAACAGGGTGGTCAAGGTTACATCTATTATCAATATTATTTTTTTAGCCATTACATGTAATTGTAAAGGTGGATGATAATCATCAATAGGTAAAACAAAATCATTAGAGAGACTTAAAGCATAATCAATCGAATTACAAAACACCAAATCTAGAATAGAATTATGAACATTAGTAAACTCATTTATTTGCATCAGATTAGCGACATCACATGTGTCAGAAATAATCGACGATATTACTTCATGCTGCATGACAGAAGTATTTTTAGGCAAACAAGGAGGACCGTTTTTACTATTATTCCACTTTAAAAAAGGTAAATTAAAATCTCCAAGGATGGAAATATTCGCATTAGGATAAGAGAATACTATATTTTCAATAATTGAACACATGTCAAAATATATATTAGTTGAAGAATTCGGAGGTAAGGGAAGTGTTCCGGTTGTGGGCACCCTTTTGTTTTTGCCTCATAACATTTGTCCATGTGCATATTATTCAAATATATGTGTACGAATTTAAAGCTAGAGGTCTAAGGTGACTGTCAGTGAAGGAATTAAATTGATTCCTTTAAATAAAAAAGTTTTATTAGAAATTTAGTGAAATGGGAATTTTTTGACAAAAAAAATTTTGTACCCGGTTGTGGGCACCCTTGAAAAATCCGCTAAAAATGGAAAACTATTAAACGAAACCAACACAAATAAAGAAGAAATGAAAGTTTCTTTATTTTAAGAGAATTTGCCGGGATAAAGAACAAAAATGATGACACGTTTTCACACTATGCTCATCGCTAACAAAAGCATAATGCTTGCATGTGAAGTAGCTAGTACGCATACCATAACGCACTTCTAATGCACTGAACGACTATATTCATCGCATTTAATGGAGTTTGCGGCTGTCACTTTCCTTGGCAGAAAGTTTAGATAGATGAGACAGTAGTCCTCATCATTGTCAGATGGTAGAGCCTCCTTAACATAAAGGTGCCCACAACCGGGAATGACAGTCATTTTTTAAAAAGACCAACACATTTTGTGATGCAGGATTTTGGTTAAACACGAAGGTAAATCACAAAATATAATGACAACACTGCAAAAAAAAAATTAAACCCTTTTTTTCTGAACGAATCTACACCCATATGTTGCTCTTCGAAAACAATACAAAATTACTTTTTTATTTATTTAATGCAAATTTTCTTTATTATGCTCACAGCTATTACACAAATGCATATATTTGTTTCGTTATCAATACGAAAAGTCCGTATTGTCAACGAACACGACTTGCAATACTTAGTTCAGTAAAGTCTGCTTGCCGTCGAAGTTTACGTAGGGGTGCCCACAACCGGAGGGTGCCCACAACCGGCGCACTTCCCCTACATAAAAACAACCCAAAATATAGAGAGTCGAATTTTTTTATGAATTTTATAAAGATATGTTCAATAGTAATAGAATTAGTAATTATAAGAGAACATTTTAGAAAATGTTTTGATGTAATCAAAACACCTCCCCCCCTCTTACCCGTATTTGTTGATTCACATCTATCTGACCGGAAAACATCGTAATTATTGAATCCAAGTTCTTGGGAGTTAATTCCAGGATGTAGCCATGTTTCGGAGAAAATTATGATATTAAAGGGAGAGAGGGGAATGTTTTGACGCAAAGCATCAATCTTAGTGCGAAGACCTCTCACATTTTGATAGTAGACGTTGAATATGACAGAATTATTAGTGTGTGTAGGAGAGGTGTCAGCTTCGTATTCACGGTAAAATACCTCATTAGTTATCAATCGTCCTTGTGAGGGTTCGTTAGAATAGTTAAAGTAGTTTTCATCAACCTCCGATTTTTCACTATGACAGGATTCCCAGACCGAAACACTATTTTCAAATTCTCTTCCCCATCCAATTGACGTAATATTATTCTATTCCTTACTAAAAAACCAATCAAAGCCTTAGAGGGTATCAGTAAATTCACATACTCATTCTAGGGTTAATTGCTTTAATTTGACTTAAAACTATCCCATGATTAAAATTCTTTGTTTGAAATGTTTGTACATTCACTGCAAACAGTATTTATCAAATTTTACTTCAAGAAAACATATTTCTTTTAAAAAACAAAAAAATGATTTTTAGGGGAGATTGGGGAATTGTGGGCAACCTCCATTATTTAATAATAGTTATAAGTTTGATCATCCAATTTTTTATTTTCTTTTGTTCGTCCACAAGAAATTTTTCATAAAGATTTCGTTATATTTTCAAAATAGGTATTTTATTTTTTTTTTTTGTCTTTTTTCTACTTTAGCTGTTCTCGACTTTGTCTTTGTACTTTTTGTTTTAGTGCCCTTACTTTTTTAATCTTTTGACTCGACATGTTATTCCTACAAATGACGAAAAATTGTTTTTTAAAGAACACATTAAAAAAACTTCATTGGGTTCAAATCATGTGAATTTTCCAGCATCAAAAGATTAAAAAAGTAAGGGCACTAAAACAAAAAGTACAAAGACAAAGTCGAGAACAGCTGATTTAAAAAAAAGCCAACAAAAAGAAAAAATAAAAATCTTTATTTCTTCCCATTTTTATTAAATTAAAATTAATTAAATAAATTAAATTTTAATTAATTAAAATTTTATTAATTTTATTAAATTTTTCTTTTAAAAAGAAAAGAAAAAATGGACCTAAAGATGAGAAAAGTAAAAATTTATTTTTTCAAAATTTATGTCAAAATAAAAAAAATTTTTTAAATAGACTGTGCTATTCGAAAGCCTATGAAAAAATTTAAAAAACCATATCCTAATTTTTAAAAAAAATTTTTCTTTTAATTATAAGAAATAATCTAACTGTAGCGTGTCACGCAAAAGTTTAGAACTTCTACCCCCTCCACCTCGGACAATTTTTTAAAAAATTCAAAAATATTTATCTGACAAATTAGTAACCTGTAGGGCATATCATAAAAAAAATTTGGGAATAATTGAACAACATTTTTTTTGGGTGGACTTTTGACGTGATATCTACCATATATTAAATATGGTTTATTAAATTGGTTCATATGGCCCATATGAATTTAAGGGCCACTCTATATTTTTAAATATTAAAAGAACTACAAAATACGTCTAATAAAATCTATAAAACAAATTCGAAAAACGATTGTCGTTATAAAACAAAAAACCGCTGCCAAGTTGTACATTTTTATAATTTTAATGTTCATTTCATGAACACTTTGCTTCCTCATAGAAATAATAATTGAAATATAAGAATTACTTTTAATAAAAGGATTAAAAATCATTAAATTTTGGTCCAAAAAATGTGTTTTTATGTATTCTATAATATGGTAATAATAGTTTAATAATTACACATACGTTAATAATAAACAAGAAAGTTAAAAAAATGATATTTTCCTCAATTGTTGATTTTTCAAATACCAATAATTTCATAATTTCGGATTCAATCCTTCCTCTATGAGGAAGCAATTTAAATTTATACCTCCGAGCTGCCGGCGACACAGAGAAGTGGCTATCAAATTCACCAAGTCAACGGAAATGTGAGTAAATTTACGTGCGAAAACGAATTTTATCATACCTTTCGATATGCTCCCCTTTAATTAAGTATAAATCTCCACCTTTTATCGCTATCCACACTTCCCCTCTTCAATTCGCGTCAACTGCAAGAGACATCTTCTAATAATCAATCACAAATTCACACTAAAAATTGGCAGTTTTCAGTGTCTATAGAATTTGTTCAATAATATAATATTAATTTATAAAAATTCATAAAATATTTTCGGGATGTAACATAAAAATTCACGAAATTAAAGATTATTAAATTTGTTATAAACAAAAAAAATTTTTTTTCATTTAATTCATTTTAATAGAAGTATAGGTAACAGCATCTTGAAAATAGAGTTTTGTCTTTTTGAATTTTTGAGTTGCCCGCTTTGAGTCGAATGTTTAAATTAACAGTTGCTTCTTTAATTGTCACGATTTCTTCCATCAAAAACAAAAGATCGTATTTTTCGAAAAGAGTTTCTCTTAAAACTTATTAACTTATAAATATTAATTTTCTCACATACTTCAATATTATTTCATAAATGACTGATATCACATAATTTACATACTAATTCACATAATTAAAGTAAATAGAAAATAGATTTTGTTATTATGAATAAAAAATGATTATGACTTTTCATGTTATTGCAGACAGTAGAAGTAGTTGAAGTGAAGATTAACTTTGATTGCGAGTCATCTGGTGAAAAATCAATTGTGAGTATTTTTGATATTTTAATTTTTTAATTATATTATATAAAATTTTTTTGATTTTGTAAAAATCAAAGTAAAACAGCATTGCAAATACTTCAATATGATTAAAGTTTGTATACTTTTCATGCATTCATTAAAGGTCACTCACTGCTTTAAAATAAATAATACCCATGTGGAAGGGTTTCCGGAAACTTTCCGGAAGAGGTTTCCGAAAGTTTTCCGGAAATTTTTTTTTTGTACAGAAATCATTCGGAAATCTTCCGGAAACTTTCCGGAAATTTATTTTTTTTGTACGGAAATCTTCCGGAAATCTTCCAGAAATTTATTTTTTTTGTACGGAAATCTTCCGGAAACTTTCCGGAAATTTTTTTTTTTACGGAAATCATCCCGAAATCGTCCGGAAACTTTCCAGAAATTTATTTTTATTACGAAAATCATCCGGAAACTTTCCGAAAATTTATTTTTTTTTACGGAAATCTTCCGGAAATTTATTTTTATTACGGAAATCACCAGGAAATCTTCCGAAAACATTCCGGAAATTTATTTTTTTTGTACGGAAATCTTCCAGAAATTTATTTTTTTTGTACGGAAATCTTCCGGAAACTTTCCGGAAATTTTTTTTTTTACGGAAATCATCCCGAAATCGTCCGGAAACTTTCCAGAAATTTATTTTTATTACGAAAATCATCCGGAAACTTTCCGAAAATTTATTTTTTTTTACGGAAATCTTCCGGAAATTTATTTTTATTACGGAAATCACCAGGAAATCTTCCGAAAACATTCCGGAAATTTATTTTTTTTGTACGGAAATCTTCCGGAAACTTTCCGGAAATTTTTTTTAACGGAAATTATCCGGAATTCTTCCGGAAATTAATTTATTTTACGGAATTTTTCCGGAAATTAATTTTTTTAACGGAAATTATCTGGAAATTAATTTTTTTTCGGAAATCATCTGAAAATCTTCCGGAAATTTATTTTTTTTACGGAAATCATCTGAAAATCTTCTGGAAATTGATATTTTTATACGGAAATCATCTGAAATTCTTCCGGAAATTGATCCTTTTTTTGAGGAAACCTTTCGGAAATTGATTTTTTTTACGGAATTCTTCCGGAAATTGAATTTTTTTTACAGAATTCTTCCGGAAATGAATTTTTTTTTTCGAAAATCATCTGGAAATCTTTCGGAAATTGATTTTTTTACGAAAATCTTTCGGAAATTAATTTTTTTTTACCCAAATCACTTTGGAAAGTTTCCGGAAATTGATTTTTTTACGAAAATCACTTCGGAATTGGACCCTACACAAAATGCACTTAAAAAATCTTCGAGTGAAATTGTTTGAAACTTCATGGGAATGAAGTTTTAAGAATGCTAAACAAAATACTGAAGTCAAAAGTGCCCCACTTAAGGTCAGAAATAGGACTAGGAGAGGTTAAAATAAATTTGTAAATTGTCATAAGTTTAATAAATATACAAAATCTGTTTGGAAATTCATTGTGACTATTTTTGTATAAATACAAATTTTTTTAATTAATTAATTAATTATAACATAAAATTAAATAATTTTTTGAGAAAGTTCTCTGACAATTAAATTTATTATTCAAAAGAAAAAAATCCAACCTAAAATAATACTTAAGTCCTCTTGTTTACAATTTAATTTTACGTAATTGAAATAATTTAAATTTAATTTATTATGTCCAGAAACATTAAATGTAAGTAAAATTTAATAAATTTATTGGAGTTGTTCCATATTATCTATTGTTCATGGTTGGTCAACCTGCAAAACTAAATTTCGAAACGTTGATTTTACATCATTTTTAAAATTGTATGTAAAAATCTAATTTTTTACCAATTTAAATTATCTATTGGGTCAAATTCGTACCTTTTTAGGTCCTCTTTCTAATGGTTTGTTCATATAAATTATTCGTTTTTTAGTTATGAGCAAAGAATCTTAGATTTGTCAACCTACAAGCCTTTCCCCTAAATAATGTTTACTATAAAAAATTTTTTATTATATTTTTTTGCCTTTATGAATTTTTCATTAATTTTATTTAGATAGCCCATTGAATTTCAAACATATCAAATTATTATCAAAGTGTACACCCAGTAAGAAGTAAGGAATTGAAAAGAATTGGACATTTTTAACTTTTTACAGAAAATGTTAAATTATCAATTTTTTTGAATTCCGTTTCTGTCCAATTCCTATGTATTCCTTTTTGAGGCAAAGATTTCTTTAAAGTGAATTCCAATCAATTCCGTTTTAATATTTCTTTAATTTTTGAATTTTTGGTGAATTCCGAAATACTGTGTGATACTCGGTAAGTTCAATTCCTGTCTATTCCGTTTTAATATTTTGTAATTTTTTAATTCCTTTAAAGTTTGCAACACTTTGAGATAAGTGCTTCTAAAATTCGGTAGTCATGGTACAGTTTAAATAGCTGAGCGGACAAGCTGTTTGTCTCTGACAATGAAGCTTGAGGGTTCAAATCTTCGATCCGTCAAATTTTTTTTCCGCTTAAAATATTAAAACGGTATTCAAAAGAATAAACTTAGCTTCTGTTCGGCTTCTCCAAATGAAAATGAAAAGAATTGGTCACAAACGGAATTAAAAAAAATCTGCCCGCCCTCCGGGCGGACACATTCTCATCCGCGCTTCGCGCGGAGGGCTCGCTTCGCTCGCAAGTTTCAGCGCGCTTCGGGGCGCGCGAAATATTGGTCGTCGCGCTCCGTGGATTGTTGCGCGCTTCGCGCGCAAATAGCTCGCTTTGCTCGCAGTCGCCCGCGGAGATTGTGCATTACTTGCGTTCTTGATCCTATTCCTATTATATGTTTTATAAAACTTTTTTTTCTTTTTCCTACTATATGTTTTATCACTTTTTTTCTTAAAGTTACTACGACTTTAAGGATAACATTCTCATCACCTATTTTTGTTTGCTGATGATTGTAAGATTAAGTACATCTTTTAAGAAAATTTTTAGTCCTGCTAATTAAAAGTGTGAAATTATTCTTAATTACTTACTTTCTTCGCAGAAACATGGTTTGCTGAATTTTCGTCTATAATAGATTTACATTAAAAAATAACTTTAATTTTTAGAAAAGTTTCAGGCTAAGCATTCAATAAAGTGGGACATGTAAACCTTTACACAATTAATTTTAATATTATATAGTAAATAATACTACGAAGTTAACCGACAGATTAGCTCAGTCGTATAGATGCCTGGCGTTATCGGTCGTTTAAGGACCAAGGGTATAAGTATCCTTGGTTCGCGCCCACTTGGCTTGATATTTTTCCGGCACGTGAGACAATCTGAGCGGGAGGTTTGACGTCGAGGTATAATGATGTGCACCGTCGATTATTGTCCGGTACACACCATAATAGAACTCGACTGTCGATAAACCGGTTGTACTCAGGAGAGGTTTTCTACAGTTTCCCTCTTCTCTGGCGAGAAAACCCATTGACGGGTGGCCCAGGCGCAATGCGAGTACTCCTAATAAAAGTCGGCTGTAGACGCAAATTAGGTTAATATATAGAAAATTTATGTAGAATGGTTATGCTTAATCCAAAAAAAAAGTATTTCTCGAGGACTCTTGTCGAAGTGCGTAAGGCGAATAAGGCAGGAGTATAAACAATAAAAAAAAATACTACGAAGTTTGCATGTAAATCTTTAAATAATTTTTAGGAAGTATTCAGCATCGGGTTCGTCACCTTGTCATCTTCACAACTAAACACGTCAGTTACACTTCAACTCCAGCCAAAAAAATTTTATTTTTCTAATAAAGAAACCAATATTGTCTGAATATTGACAAAACATGTGATATTTTGTTGATGCAAAAGAAAATAATTTAAAAAACGGTTAAAAGTGTTCTCTTTATTTTGTTGTAAACTACAGATTTTTAGAAAGGTTTTAACATTTCAGAAAATAAATAATAAATAAAACTTTATAAAACAGTTAAGTTGGTATGGCCCAAAAACTTAAAAAAAAAAATTATGAAAAAATGTTATAGAGAAAAGTTGTTTGTATTTTCCTAATATAAAATAATATAAAGTTAAAAATTTTGAAATTTGAAAAAATTGAGTTTTCAAAATTTTGAAACTACTGTAGTTTCTGTAGTTTTCAACAAAAATGTCTGGTTAACGAACTTATAGCCTTCATTTTTATACCAACTTTAAGCGTGTTAAATTTAAAAACGATCAGATAAGATTTTCAAAAGTTATTGTGCCTACAAGATTTTGGCCTACAGACGGACATACATACAGACAGACGGACATACAGACAGACGGACTCGCCGGACCATGTTTTTCGGGTTCAGGGGGCCCCAAAACGTAAAGATTTCATAAAATTAGCAAAAGTAAATTTTCGACCAAAACTAATACTTTCTCATGTGATGAGAATGTAAAAATTAAAAATTTCGAATTCTTATTAATTCCTTACTTCTTACTGGGCACACTATAAAAATAATTAATTTCAAAGCAAACTAGACTTGCCCTTTCCTACAAAATGTACTCTTAAAAACTAAAAGATGCATACTAACAGTTTCGTCATGGTACTCAATCTATCTATGAAAATATTCCCAGGCTATACTCAGAATTGGTCAATTTTATGTGGATAGGTATATCTCACACAGGTTCTCATTATAATTATAAAACTAGTCCTTAAAAAGACCACAACCGATCTTAAAAATTAGTCCTCAATTTAATACTAAAACTAGTCCTCAAAGAAATCCTCAATATGAGCCTGAAACTAGTCTTCAAATAATTCCTCAATTAGACCAAAACGCAGGTCCTCAAAAGAGTCCTCAATCTAATCATAAAACTAAACCTACAACAAGTTCTTAATCTGATCCTAACACTAGTCCTGGAATAAGTTCTAAATATCATCCTAAAACTACTCTTAAATCAAGTCCTCAATCTGATCCAAAACCTAGTTTTAGGATCATATCCAGGACATAATTCAGGACTTGCTTTAGGATCAGATTTAGGACTTGTTTAAGGACAAGTTTTAGG